ATAACTACAAGCCAAGCCCCTAGTTTGCTATTAGCAAAGGGTATCTGCTTCAGCTTTTCAGAAAAGAAATCCCTGTCCTCAACATGTACATAGTTTCTGTTTTTGGAGGATCCCACTCAGTTCTCCAAAAATAAAAACAACACCCCTAGACTGGTTGAGGAAAAGTGTGGCTGAGATTGTGTGCTTGCAAGGAAAATAATAAACAGCATTTTTGCTTGCACATCTTTGGATGATGGAAGCCAACAGAGTTTCACCTCATTTACTAAGCTCTGGTAAACAATCCCCTTGAAAAGTACAACTTCCTTTGCAAAGTGAACAGTCTATTTCCCTTAATCATAAAATATGGCCCAATCCCTGCAGATCATTGGAACTGTCTGTTGGGAATAGATGACGAGAGATGCATTATTTTTTCAATGCTGTCTCCAGCATTCATTTCTCATAACAATCCCAAGATCTTCCCTCAACTTGGCATGGGGTTTTTGGCTAGAGCTACACAGGTAATATTGAGTTATATAACTAAAATGTCACATGATGGATCACCTGTATTGGAATACTTTGCTGTTGTTCAAGTTTATGGGCAATTTCTAGTCATACAATTATGTGTGCAAATGCAGACATTAGTTCAAATCAGTCATATTATGAGTATTAGTAGTGATTTTTTTTCCCCTTATGTTTTTAATGGCCAACTTCAATTATTTGCACATATATTACTTCAAGCAGTCATATTATGGGCATTAGTAGTGATTTCCCCCTACGTGTTTAATGGCCAGCTTCAATTAGTTGCATATATATTAGTTGTGTGGGGTCCTCCCCAAAAACCATTCCAGACCCTTATCCTGGCATGCCGGAATGGGGGGGAGACGAGAAAATGCCCCCCTCCTGAACCATACCAGGCCACATGCCCTCAATATGGGGGGATGCTTTGGGGCAAGGGGAGGCCCCCCCACAAAACCATCTTGTTGATGGGGACAAGGGCCTCTTCCCTACATTTCTTTCTGGTGGTTGTGGGGGTCTGCGGGCAAGCTTTTTGACATCTGGAAGCCCCCAGATGTCACCCCCCCATGTGAATGACTAAGCAAAAGCGGCTTCCCCAGTGGCCCTTCAGGTATGAAATATGCATACTTGAGCTGGGCATACACTGATTGAAATTTGACTGATTAAGCCAGGATAAATTTTGATTAGTGTGTGGCTGTCCCCACTCAATAGAAGTTGATAATTTGATCCATTTCTGTCAAGGGACATTTTTCCTTGATCAGCGGCTGCAGCCAGTCAACTGCAGCAGCTGACCAGTGTGAAAGGGAAAGTTAGTGCACACACACACACACACACACTATATTGCCAAAAGTATTGGGACACTCCTCCAAATCATTGGATTCAGGTGTTCCCATCACCTCCATGACCACAGGTGTATAAAATCAAACACCTAGGCATACAGACTGCTTCTTCAAACATTTATGAAAGAATGGATTGCTCTTGGGAGCTCAGTGAATTCAAGTGTGGTACTATGATAGGTTGCCACCTGTGCAATAAGTCCATCCGTGAAATTTCCTTGCTACTAAATTTTCCATGGTCAACTGTTAGTGGTATTATAACAAAGTGTAAGCAACTGGGAACAGCAACTCAGCCACCAAGTGGTAGGCCACGTAAAATGACAGACCAGGTCAATGCCAACTGTCTGCAGAGTCAATAGCTAAAGACCTCCAAACTTGGTGTGGCCTTCAGATTAGCACAACAGTGCGTAGAGAGCTTCATGGAATGGGTTTCCATGACCGAGCAGCTGCATCCAAGCCTTACATAACCAAGTGCAATGCAAAGTGTCGGATGCAGTGGTGTAAAGCACACTGGACTCTAGAGCAGTAGAGACATGCTCTCTGGAGTGAGGAATCATGCTTCCTAGTCTGGCAATCTGATGGACATGTCTGGTTTTGGCAGTTGCCAGGAGAATGGTACTTGCCTGACTGCATTGTGCCAAGAGTAAAGTTTGGTGGAGGGGGTATTATGGTGTGGGGTTGTTTTCAGGAGTTGAGCTTGGCCTCTTAGTTCCCATTCCTTCCTGCACTGTGAATGTTTACATGTTATGTGCAATTAAACCATGGCAACATCTAATGTTTGTGTAGTATTATGTTCAGCAGACTGTGTTCTTCTATTGTTGTGACTTAGATGATGTTCAGAGCACATTTTATGCCCAATTCATGCAAAACTCCATGTAATCCCAAGGGGTTCACATACTTTTTCTTGCAACTGTGTGTATGTGTGTGTATATATATATATATATATATATATATATATATATATATATATATATATATATATATATATATATACATAAAATGAGTTAGAAGGTGGGAGGAGTTTGAGTGGAAAGTACAAGGGGATAGGAGTTTGGCTTCATAGCTGGTCTCCATGGGACTTGGTGGGGCCCTTGGTGCAAAGATGTAACCTCCCAGTGGTTGGTATTCCTGCGTGAAGAATACCTGAAGTGGCCTGACAGCATGACTGGAACTGACTTTGGGACAGGACTAGAAGTGTACTCAACTGGGAAAAGTGCCAACCGCAGTCAACCTTCAGAGTGAGAAGAGAAAGATGGAATCTACAACTCTCTCAGGTGATATGTAAACGAATAGTATATTCTGGAATCGGATGCCTTGAATTAAAAATGCCATAACTTTGTGCTATGTTGTTGCCCACCTTTAAGATGGAAAGTAAAGTTTTTGCAAATACATTGGGCTCACTTCCATTATTACTGGAGGGCTATCTATGAGATAGTTAACCGGTTCATACGGAGCTGAGTGTGTGGCATGGAACTGTATACGTGTTAAAAGTAGCAGATGTAATGTTTGTGACGTTGTCAGACTACCTCAGCCAATCAGAAGAAGTTTTGTATTAATTTATAGAATACAAAGCTCTCTGTGAAAGGGTGAGTTCAGGAACACAGCACTGTGTACTGTATTTAGCTGAAGCCACATACAGGTTAGGCAGAGCACAGAGCCACTACAACCATAAGGCAGCCCATACAGTGATCATTTTTTCAATCAACCAGCAGATTAAAAGAAAAAAAAAATAAAAATCTGATCTCTCATCCACACATTCAAGGTAGATGAAAGTGGGACAGCTATGCTGTCATGTTTTGATGGCAGGGAAACTACCAATCAGAACACAATGATCAGTGCCACCGGCTATAGCTGGCAGCCCTGATCAATCGGAAAAACCCAACAGGCTGGTTGTACAGAAGTCGATCAGGAGATCAACTTCTGCACAACCAAGGTGCCCAGAAATGGATTGAAATTGTCCAGTCCCTGCTGAACCTGCTGAATTTCAATCCATGTATGGCCAGCATTAGTGAAGTAAATAGTCCCTTTGGACCATCTTAAAGTGATTCTAAAGGCTCTTTTTTGTAAAATAACAAACATGCTATACTTACCTACCATGTGCAGTGGTTTTGCACAGAGCAGCCTGGATCCTCCTCTTCTCAGTTCCCCTGCAGGCTCTCCTGGCTCCTCCTGTCAGGTGCCCCCACAGGAAGCAGCTTTCTATGGGGGCACACGCTGCTCTGTGTGTCTGGGTTGGCCGTGCCCCCTCTCTCCTCATTGGCTGATTGGCTGTGATTGACAGCAGCAGGAGCCAATGGCTCCCGCTTGCTGTCTCAGCCGAGGCAGGCAGAGACCTGGAACAGCTGAGTCTGTCGTGCGCATTGCTGGATCTTGATGGGGCTCAGGTAAGTATTGAGGGGGCTTGCTGCACACAGAAGGTTTTTGCCTTCAAGCATAGAATGCATGAAGATAAAAATTCTTCAGTCTTTACAACCACTTTAAATGAAACTTGAAGATCAGCGTTTACAATAACAGGACCAAAAACTATGCAGTCTCCAAAGCACTAAGGTTCCATTTAGATATCACATTACTGGAAGGAGTGTTTCCGTTTGCAATTTTAAAAGTGTGATTTACAAGCATTTCTGCAGGTCGCCCATAAGGCAGCTCATTCATTTCAATGAGCTGCCCTGTGCATTTTTGTTGCCCCAAAAGCAGCATGATTTCTAAATGCCCATTTTGCTGCACGATCCTGTTGTGCAACAATCTCAGCAGAATCGCAGTGCATTTGGGGTGCCATTAAGAATAACATCACCCAAACGTGCATTGCACGTTTTACCTGAATAATGGAATCGCAGGTAGAATTCCGCAATTCCAAATTGCCTAGGGTTAGGTTCACACCTATGCAGTTTGCATTTGATCTGTTTCTGCAGTGCTTTTTGCAGTGTGTTTTTGCACATGCATTTTTGCTACGTTTTGCGTTTTTTTAACTTGTTGCTGGGAAGAATAAAATGCAAAAAGGCATCAAAAACGCACTACATGCTTTTCTGAAGTGTCTCTATTGAAGTTTATAGAACCAAAAACACAACGTTTTGCATTGAAAAAAAAAAAAGTCCCTGACCCTTTCCAAAACAAAAAAAAAAGGAGATGTGAACCTGTCCCATAGGAAATCATGTTAAATTGACTGCTGTGCGTTTCTGCAAAATGCAGCGGAAAACTCATAGGTGTGAACCTAGACTAATGTGAACGCTTATCAAAACACAATCATGGAGGCACATGGGAGGAGTAGGTACCTTGGCACACATTTTTTGGGTTGCGGGTTATTGGGCTATGGTTAGAATGGTCTTGGAGCAAGTACTCAATGTTACCCTATCCCTAGACCCGCTATACTATCTTTTGGGGCTACCCTTTAGGGGTATCTCTAAGCAAGCTAAGAGGTTGGGAATACATATTCTGACGGCCGCTAGACGGGTGATACCTTGACTCTGGAAATCAGTTGATGTTCCCATGCTAAGGCTTGGTTCATATATGTGCGGGTAGCAGGGGCGGACTGACAACTCATGGGGCCCCCCAGGCAATAGGGGATCATGGAGCCCCTGTGTCCTTGCCCAAACTCAAAAAAGCCTATGAAAAAGGTACCAGGGGCATCTCATGGGGCCCCCTACTGACCCGAGGCCCTCGGGCAGTGCCCGAGTTTCCAAATGGTCAGTCCTCCCCTGGCGGGTGGTGCTGCTGTGGATCTGCACAAAAATCTGTGCAGCCGCACCACCTGCACAGAGGAATGCGGACCCGCGGGTGGGTGCCATTAGTTCTAATGGAATGCCACCCGCACTGGAAAGTGCAACCATACTGGGAACCGAGGTTCCTGTGCAGGCTGCGGTTTCCAAAGAAGTGCAGGGACTTCTTCCCTGCGTGTCACGGGTGTCCATTCAAATCAATGAAAGGGGTGGGTAAGTGAGCGCAAACAGATCAGGTAAGCAGCTAACATACAGGGTAATCCTCAATACCTTGGAATGTAAACTATAAATGGGGTATGTAGTGCTAGAGAACAGATGACAAGCACAGGGGCTGTTACCATATGAAGTAACAATACAACAGTTCATATAATAGTTTTAGCTCGAAACATGTTAGGGGATCCACCCTACTGACGCCTTTGCTACTAGGGAACCACTAGCCACCAGGGAACAACCTCACCAGACCTGGATGAGTATATTTGCATTATCACTTACCATATTCTATGGCTTTATGCTAATGATACCACTAGCCACCAGGGATTTATCTATTGGACCTGGATTTGTATGCGGTGCATGCTGAGTGAACCACTAACCACCAGGGAGCCTATCTATTTGGGCCTGGATGTATATTTTATCAATGTGAGTTCTGGTTGCTTTGCTCACGTCTTGTGTTCTTAATAAACGTACTTCACTATTAGCACTTTCTTGCCTCCCGGCTCGTTTTTTAATGAGCTTATGCAAGGTGGCATTTTGGATTTGAAAGCCAGAGGGGGCCTGGACAGCGGTGAACCTGTGACCCAGATGTCCGTATATGACCAGATGTTGCCCAGGCTGTTGACCAGACCATGACGCCCGGTTGCTGTTGAATTGCATACAATGCTCATATTGTGTGTACTTGTGGTAAGCGCACAACCTCATTATCTTTTCTTATTCCACTGAATGAGATCTGGAACATCATTGGATCATTTCCATTTTTCCTTCTGGCTGTATTATATGAACTATTATATGAACTGTTGTATTGTTACTTCATATGGTAACAGCCCCCGTGCTTGTCATCTGTTCTCTAGCGCTACATACCCCATTTATAGTTTACATTCAAATGAATGGGCTCTCGTGCCCACGCAAAACGTGGCCCGCACGGCCGCATATATGTGAACCAGGCGTAAATCATCTCTTAAGAGTGATCTCTGAAATCAGAGAAATTTAATATTTGAATATCTTACAGCTCTAGTGGGTGAACACTTGGGTAACTTTCACTCTATTTAGGAGCTATGGGATCATTCTCCCTTTGGTAGACTTTCTTCTCCCCCCCCCCCCCCCCCCCCCCCTTATATAGTCCAGACACCTTTTTAGGTAACGTGCCTTTGACAAATAATGTAACCCAACAAATATGCAGGCTTATGTCGATTTATGCCTTTGTATTGTGCAGATTACCATGCTGTCTATTTATGTTCATATTTCTTCTGATTTTGGTTTCTTTTATACTGATGGTGGTTTTCTTTCATTGCAACCTTTACACCCAAAGTGTTGTTGTTGTTGTCACTATGTTCTGAAAAAAAAATGGGCACTGGCCCTTAATAAAAATGTACAATATTAAAACATAATCATGGCGTGTAAATAAAATTGCTTTAAGTGCACATAATAACAGAACTAAAACTCTATTAGGAGCTTATATACATACAGCTAGTATGTACTTTCCCTTTAATTAACTCAACAGTGCAGAACTGTCATCAGCTTGTAGATGAATAACAATCTCACATCCTGTGATGAAATGATTGCTACATTGTTTTACATGATGTGAGTCCCAAACATCAACATTGAAGGCTCTCTCTACTCTCTAGTGACACTGCACACACCCTCCCTTCTCCCTCCTCCTCAAGCATGATCACTGCTGCCTATGGGAGGGTCTGGTTGTCAGCTAATCCTATCACGCCATCTGCTTTATAAAGAGGGTCTTGCTATACTGCCAGTGCACTCTGATTGTGACCCTTTCCCTGCTGCCGCCAGCCATACCCTGCAAACAGTAAGTGTTCGGCTGATCAATGTAGGCCAGCAATCAGTGATTGCATGTGTTGTGTGTCTTATTGCTTGCACAAGACTAGGAAGGCCTTTGAATATTGCTGATGTTGGCAATGTACTTTTACCGTCTAATGGCCTGTTATCTAAGAGCTCCCTGTCCATTGCTTCTGTATTCTGCTGAAGTTGTCTCTACTTGAGCTTTACCTTTTAGTAATGCTGTTTGCATTTGTACATGATAATCTGATCTGCAATAATTTACAACTCTGCTTTTTGTCTGGTTTGTGGTGTGTTGTGTGTTTTTTTTACTAAAACCCCATTTTCATTTCCAAGGGGTATTTAAAGTAGATTCTATTCCCCCCCCCCACCCCCACCCCACATAAAATAGTTTTCTTTCTTTTTATTGCTTCTCAGTGCAGCTGAACTTCTCCCGCAGCCACTCTTTTCTACATGCACGTGCTGCAGTGATGGCTGTGATGATTGATTTTTTTTTTTTTTTTTTAAATGTTTTACAGGTATTTATAGAGCCATCAATTTTATGCAGTGCTCTACTATATATATATATATATATATATATATATATATATTTATTTCACATCAGTCCCTAACCCTCAAGGGGTGTACAATCTAAGGTCCCTAACTCGCATTCATTCATACATACACATACTAGGGCAAAACATGCAAACACCAGGCAGGTGGTGTCGTGGTTGGGATTCAAACCAATGACCCTAGTACTGCCAGGCGGAAGTGCTAACCATTTAGCCACTGAGCTGCCCATCAGTGGGCCATGTGTGTTGAACTTGGACGGCCAGTTGTAGACTCAGAAGCTCATTTGACAGGTCACACCACAGTAAGGAGACAGTGTTGTCAGCCTGTAACAGGAAGTGTCTGATCAAGAACATTCATGGCAGGATCACTGGGTAATTTTTTAAAAGCCAAGTAGGAGATTTTTTGCATTTGGGCCTGAAAATCATTGTAGCTGTGAAAGTTTTGGAACCTGCAGGTTCATACAGAGGTACAAAGCTTCAGTGACAGGACTGGAGGAAGTGTCAATTGATAGAAGTGCAGTGATGTCACTACATTTGTGCTCCATTGAGAACCTGTGCTGTGGCAGAGCCATGCACAGCCTTACCAAATTCAAATCAGTGGGGGAGAAGCACCCCTGGATTCTTTGGGGGGGGGGGGGGGGTTGGAGAATTTGGTGTTGGGACAGTGCATACTGTGACCAGGTTTCATGTCACACCCTAAATATTGGTGTATCATGGTCATAAAGATGGACTTGCTATTAACCACTTCCAGTCCGGCCCATGTACATAAACAGCTGAATGGGAGCAGGGCAGGAGCAGGTGGGCATTAAAACATAAACAGCCTCCACATTCACTGCCTGTGCACGCTCCCTGGGAGCACGCAGCACCACGATCCGGTGCCCGCTGTGTCCGGAGGATACATACTGGAATTAAAAAAAAAAACAAACTTTTTTTATACTAGTAATTGCAGCTATCAGCAGCTTATAGTGGGACTGCGGGCATTATGACACGGGGGGGAACTGACTGTCACTGACATCCCCAGTGACACTAATACAGTGATCAGTGCGAATAAAAAGCACTAACACTGTACTAATGACACTGGGCCAGAAGGGGTTAACATTTGGGGTGATCAAAGAGTTAACTGTGTGCTATTTTACAAACTGTGCTGTGAGTTTTACTGTGCAAGCATGCTGCTTTGTATTGCTCTGCTATGCAGAGCAATACTAAGCGGCATGCTGGTGCGGACAGGGGACAGTTCTATTTTGGTTACATACAGACCTCTCCTCTGTCAGTGTTCCTTGGCGATTGCCGGGTGTCGGCAGGAAATCTCCGGTCAGGACCCGGTGATCGACAGCTGTAGCCACCGATGGTGGCGTGGGTGCCCCCTACCCAAAAATAAAAAATATAGTGTGTGTGTATATACGTGAGTTTGTGCAGTCCTGCCACCCTGAGCAGTCGGGAAGTGGTTAAAGCACTAAGAAACCCAAAAGCAAACATTTCTTATAATGCAGCTTACCAAATATTTGCTGACCGCTTGAGAGGAGAGCTGGTAATCGGCATTACTCAGAGGGAACATCTACACTGATAGGTCATTTTTCCAAATAAGCTGTACTGCAAAATGTATTAGTTACAGAGATGAGACAAACCATTTTGCACTAGCAGGGGTGCTTACAATGATCAACAGTGGCAAAGAAGCATGCAGATTTTACATTTCCTGAGGGACCTAAGTGTTGTTGACTTTGGTTCTGTTTTAAATTCGAACTCCCCTTTAAAAAAAAACAAACAAACAAAAAAAAAACCTCTTACAGGACCCAGTTGGCGTGATCACTTCCTCAGCAGCCCCTCTGATATGAGATATGTATACCTATTGGTCCAAGCTGCACCAACATAACTATAAGCTGCACCAACATAACTATGCAATAAAGATTATACCTGGTTTTCAGCTTTACGGTTGCATTCAAACTATAGCATTTAATGAACACCTGTAAAGTTGCTCGAATTTATAAAAATGCAGGAAAAACGTGTGCTGTGCTATTCATTATCAATGGCACCTCAAATGTAGGAAAGTGTAGTTAAAGGATAAGTCCACTTTCTGGGAACATGTGCCATTTTTGGGGTGTAACCAGGTGCGGACTGACCATTTGGAAACTCGGGCACTGCCTGAGGGCCCAGGGTCAGTAGGGGGCCCCATGAGATGCCTCTGGTACACTTTTTTGTTTTTTGAGTTTAGGCAAGGACACAGGGGCCCCATGATCCCCCTATTGCCCGGGGGCCCCATGAGTTGTCAGTCCACCCCTTGGTGTAACATGTTCCCACTGCTGCAGCTTCTCCCCAATCTGCCACCACCTCTGACAGTGAGCCAGGGATCTTCTTGCTAAACTTGCTGTCACAATTTATAATTTAACCGCCTCCCGCCCGTCATATAAGTAAATGACGGGCGCAAGGCGGTTCTCTCATTCTGGGAGGACGTCATATGATGTCCTCCCACTCTAACCGCGCATGCGCGCCCCTGGGGGCGCTCAGCGTGGCAATCAGTGGTGCGCTGTGTCCCTGGGACACAGCGGTTCACCGATCAGCGGAAAGAGCCAATGATGTCAGATCTGTCATGTGATCAGCTGTGTCCTATCACAGCTGATCACATGTCAATAAGGAAATGCCAGTTATCTGCATTCCTCTCCTCACAAGCTGTCACGCTGACCAGCTCGAGAGGAGAGCTGGTAATCGGCATTACTCAGAGGGGACATCTACACTGATCATCAGTGCCCTGATGATCATTGTAGCCCCATCAATGCCATCTGTCAGTGCCCATAAATGCCACATATCAGTGCACATCAATGCCATATGTCAGTGCTGCCTATCAGTGCCATATGAGTACAGCCTTTCAGTGATGTCTGTGAATGCCCACCAGTGATGCCTGTCAATGCCCATCAGTTCCACCTACCAGTGCCTCCTCATCAGTGCCCATCAATGCAGCCTCCTTAGCGCACACCAGTGAAGGAGAAAGATTACTCATTTACAGAATTTTATAACAAACGTAAAAACATTTTTTTTTTTTCAAAATTTTCAGTTTTTGGTTTATCAAAAAATAAAAAAAAACCCAGAGGTGATTAAATACCACCAAAAAGCTCTATCTGTCTCAAAAAAATAATTTCATATGGGTACAGTGTTGCATGACCGCAATTGTCATTCAAAGTGTGACAGCTGAAAATTGGCCTGGGCGGGAGGGGGGTGAAAGTGCCCAGTAGGCAAGTGGTTAAAAAAACAAATGGCAGTCTGTAATGTTTTCTATAATGCCTTTAAGTGGTTGTACAGGGTGTTTTTTTTTTTTTAAGATTGCATGAAGGTAAAAAACCTTCTGTGTGCTGCTCCCTTCACAGCCTCCCTTATACTCCCCTGAGCCCCTTCTTAAACCAGTGACGTGCACAGGAGCCTCAGCTGTACTTGGTCTCTCTCTCTTTCCTAATTGGCTGAGACAGAGCAGTGGGAGCCATTGGCTCCCAATTCCAAGAATCACAACCAGTGAGCCAATGCGGAGCAGGTGGGGCTGAGCCGTGACACTGTCTTATGGATGCTTAGACTGGGGCTTGCTCCCGAGCCCAACAGTGCCCCTATAAGCAGGCTGCTTGCTATTGGGGGCATTGGTCCTGGGGCAGGAGCTGGGTGCACCAGTGGGGGACCCAAGAAGAGGAGGATCGAGGCTGCTCTGTGCAAAACCATTGCACAAAGCAGGCAAGTATGACATGTTTGTTTAATAAAAACAAATAAACAAGAAAAACACTTTAATATCACGTGAAAGCATTGACATCCTAAAATAAAATAAATTGCATGTGTGAACATTTTAGATATGTGTAATATATAATTATTACACATACACACAAATTGAGCAGGTACTACTTTGTTTCTGTATTGTAGTAACGAAAAAAACAAAACCTAAAAAACTAGCATGGATTAGGTTGAATAATGGTTGTTGTGCTTGCTGCACAAGTCTGTTTAATGGAACTTTTTTCAGAGGACTCCAGTGCTTCTCCCCTATAAGAAAATGCAAGTTCATAGTGAAACACATGCAGAAACTTGTGAAGTATAATCTTATTGCACGATTACACATCTGCTGGTGACAAAGCAGAATAGCTGAGGTTCAAATGACTCCTTACATAACCGGTTATGCACCTCCAGTGGTGGTACTGTGACTCCACCTCGGGGCACCAGGCTTCCTATTGTCATGTGAGGTGTGCACAGATTTGAATTGTAATGTAATCCTTTGGTGTTTTTGCCAAGTTAAAAGATGTAACCAGGAGCTAATGTTGGAAGCAAAATCTTTAACACACAAACCAGTGTCAGTGTACACCTCATACCAGAACTACCCACCTATATAATAAATGCACATCAAAAATGCAGAAAAACCTAAGACCCATTTTTTTTTTGTGATTTTAAATACATTTTAACCAAAAAATAAATTTATAATATTTATGAACCACTATTAACCATTAACATGCTTTGGTTGTAAAGACTCGGGCAGTAATATCTTATGCAAACTAAATTACAGTTTACCTACCACTGTCCTCCCACAAAGTGGGCGACATTACCCTATAAAGCGTGACTGTCGCAAGGGGAAAAATACTTCAAAGTTGAAGATGCTGAGAAGATCCAAAGGGCAAGGCTGGAGATTCCAGATGACTAAACATTCCAGGACTCCATATAAAGCACAGGATCCACTCATTGGCTAACTGTTTTCCCACCAAAACATCCTGCCACCAATCCAGCACTCACCTGACTGCCCAACAAATAAGCTAAATCTTCCAAGCAAGAGCAGACAGATTGTAACCTGTAACACAAACCGTAGAAACCAGCAAAGCAACCCCAGAGAGACGTGTACTGAACATCGCCATAACCCTCTGTAAGGCCTGGTTCACACTAGTGTGATTGCAGATGTGACTTGAATTGCGTGACAATTGAAGGCAATCGCATTTCTTTCACTGGTGCCTGTTCACCTCAATGCAACGCAACTAATGTGACTTTGCGGAAGGCACCTGTGCTACTTTGGTGCAGTTTGGCACCATTTTGAGCCCCATCGACTTTCAATGGGTGAATCGAGGTCCCACAAAAATCCATACCAGGCCCTTATGCAAGCACACATGTCGGCAATAAGGAAGAGAGCATGTGCTCTCCACACACTCCTCTACCAACCAGGCCACATGACCTCACCTTTGGGGGAGGGGGGGGCACTTTTGCCAGGGTAGGGAAGCCCCCTTGCAAAGTGCCTTGTAACCATGTTGATGAGGACACGGGTCTCTTCCCCCACAGACCTGGCCTGGTGGTCGTAGGGGGTGACTTTTATCAGAATCTGGAAGCTGCCTTTAACAAGGCACAAGGGTGGCATGTGAAATTGCAGTATGGTATATCAACTCATTGACCAAAAAAAGTAAATGAAACCGATCTTTGGCAAGTCCCTTTTTTTTTATTAAAATAAAATTCTCCCGAAATATTGTAAATCCATTTGTCCAGTAATATTTGAAGGGGGCCCATACACGCTAGCTTCCTCCCCAGCCCCCCTCCCTTTTTTGGGGGGGAGGAGGCTATTTTAGTTACTATCTGGGTCTGCTGGGACTCCTCTGACGGCAGAGATGAGTTGCTGGTTTTTAGGACCTCAGTGGGTGCCGGCTCCTTTTCAAATGACTCATCCCTGCTGGGAAGGATGAGTCAATGCAGTAGTAGCAAAAATGCAGCTACAAAAGTTGCCCTGCATAATTGCATTGTAAATTGGGTAAAGATCAAGTCACACTAGCGTGAACCTTGCCTTCAAAGTGGTAGTAAACAAAAAAAGTTTCCTGCTGCAAGGAAATATTGTAATGTGCTAGTATGCATTAAACTGAGGCTCTCATGGACATCGGACTGGAGCTCAGGTAAGTGTTGGGGGGGGGAGGCTGCTACACACAGGTTTTTTACCTCAATGTATAGACTACACGCATGGAACTCCTGTGCATCCCAGTGCAGGAAAATGCGATCCTCACGTTGGAGGATTCCCTTGATATGCCCTGTGTGAATGAGGCCTAAAATTATTGCCTTCAGTACTTGCTGTTTACAGCTTTTAATGCTGCTGGCTCCTGATCTGGTCTTTACAGGAAAAGGTGTACAGTGCAGTCACCAGTCAGTCTGTTATTTTGGAGGAGGAAGGCGTAGAGGAGTACCTTGCCATCCCAGGCTACGGGGCTGTGTGTTTTTCTATTGACGCACACGGTGCAGGGAGACACAGCTTTAGTCCCTGCATGTAAGGGTGGCTTTATGGGATGCTACAATAGAAAGGGGCCACCATAAAATGGGAAACCTGGTGCAGTGGCCATGACATCAGACTATACAGGCACATAGGCAAGGATTAAATGATAAAGTAGCTGGATAAGTGATTAAATCAGCAGCTAAAAGTGCTTTAAAAAAAAGTGATTGTAAAGGCTCAAGGCTTTTTTTTTTTTTTTTTTTAATTTTTTTTTTTTCTCCCTCCAAAACAAGCACAATATAATTACATGCAGCCCCAATCCTCCTCTTCTGGGTACCCGCACCTGCTCCCCCCCCCCCCCCCCCCGAGTGCCCCCCCCAGCAAGCTGCTTGCTATGGGGGCACTCAAGTATACTTGCTCCCAAGCCCTGCTCTGTGTGTTCTTAGAGCATGGCTTGGCCCAGTCTCCCTCCTCACTGGCTGACAGTGGCCCCACACTGCAGTCTGAGCCAACCAGGAGGGAGAGAGACCCTTTACATAGGTGGATCGATCGAGCTCAAGTAACTTTAAGGGGGTTCTGGGGCTTTAAAACCTATACCTGTGACAATCCCATAGGGCCACTTTCCTAGTGTGCCCCCATATATGTGGCACTAACCCATGTAAACTGTCCTAGGTCTCTGACGGTTCTTGTAAGTATGGGGTAAACGAAAACTAAACCGAGAACCTACTGCTGTACAGCATGTGTCGTGTTCCCCCTTCCCCATCCTGGTGTGTTGGCATGTTCATGCATGACATAATGCACTTTAATGTGACACATCAGGACCGATAAGTGTGAAGGGATGCCTTTCATTGACTGTCTTCTCATAAAGCTGCTCATAGTTGTTTTCTACCCATTCACCCCTTTATTACAAAGGGGGAAAAGAAATCATAATTTAGCAGATCAAATTTTCATAGGAGTTTTCCTCTGGAGTAGTGCTAAGCCTTGCAAATAATTTATAACTATTTTCAATGGTGGCAAAAAGTAGAAACCTCATCCAATCAGTCACACCCCTTTTTTTTTTTTTTAACTTCAAGTGCTGAATGAAAATGTAAAATCAGTTAATTTACTAGTCCTATATACATGAAACCACATACAGCATTCTGAAGTAATCAATTAGAAAAGCAAGATGGCGGGGTTGTTTTTATAGATTGTACATTTATACTGTGCTATTTAATCTAAGAATCTGCTTGGGTAATCTAGGAGTTAAAAACAGACAAACTCTTATCTAGAGCATAAAATGGCAGCAATTCATTGGAAAAAAAAAAAAGCCCAAGGGAGGCCAGTTTAATGTCACGAGTGCCATATTTTGTTTCATTTATATTACATAGCTTGTCAAGGTTTACTATTTGCAATACAGTAACATTAAACTGTCTTCTGTTGATCTTTGTATCTTGTGCAGTGGGGGACACTGGAGCAGGAAACAACATAATGAGTAGACCCCCTCAACCACTCATTATGTTGCTTCCCCTCTGGGCCTCATAACTCAACTGGCATGTATACAAAGGCATGACATGCATTTTGAAAGGCAGCGAGCCCCCTCCCTGGCAGAGGCACAGGCCAGTAACTTGTATAATGTGGGATTGCTCCTTGTGTTGCTTCCTCTTTGGCCTTGTAACTGTACAGAAATGTGTGCATCACAAGGCATATTTTGAAATCTAGCTAGCCCCTTCCCTGGCAGACACATGTCATCTAAAGAATG